GGGGGGAGGGCATTTTGGGGTCTACTCATGGCAAGCTTAGAAATGCTTAAATATGAGTGGTACTGAGAAGGTTTGATCTAAGTTGGCTGTAAACACACCTTAAAGGAGAGGACACATCTGTTACTATGATACAACGTATCAAATACATCAACAGAAACTTATAAAACATTATAAATGTGATAAAATGGAACAGAATAATTAACATAACCTTTGGAAAGCATTACTGATTAATTTACATTGCCTTAAGCTTACTAATCACACCCAAGAATATGTTCAAAAGCTCTCCACCTTTTTTTTCAATACTGAACAGGTTTTCTTTCCTGAAAGTGGAAAGAAATGTCTGTTCTGTTTTTAAAATAGCAGCACATATCTATGATTAATTCTTTAATTTGCATCTAGATCTACTTACTACCTGGTTTGACTAACCCGAAATTATGTAGTTCTAACTAAGCAAATACACCTTGAAACTAATGCCAACATTCATTTTGTTTGTTTTTTTGTTTTTTTTTTGCATATCAAGAAAACCTCTTCCTGAACGTAGGAATATAATTGCCATGTTTTTCAGACCTTATGGCGTGCAGACGTCATTTCCCTCAGTGAAAAATAATTAGTGGAGATATCTGTGAAAATACCACTCATTAAAAGTGATTGCCTTCCTGTGTCCTTGGATTAAAGATGGCGGCAACTATGCTTCATGTATTTTCTTAGAAATTCTGATATTAAAAAGTGACTGGCCCTAGGAATATCTCAGAAACAACAAATATAATCTGGCTGGATGGAACTATGGAAGAATTTTACTCTTCCGGTAATATCCAATGACGCCATCTTCAGTAATGTCAGCTACACTCTAATAAATATATTTAATGCCCCTGAAACAAAGACAGTGGTGAAAGAAAAAAGAAAAGCAAGTACTTACCACTTTTTTGGTACCACTAACAGTTTTATGACTAAGCTGAATTGCTTTTGTAAATTTCATCTGGCATTCCTGGCAAGGGAGAGCAGAGTCAGTGCGGATTTCTCCCTCGTAGAAACCACATTTTGGGCACTATAGAGAAGAAGGAGGCAGGCATTTTCTTCTACTCACAGTAAATTATGATATAATGATGATTTATTTTCTAATATATTTCAAATAGTTGTTATTTTTTCCAAGACTGTCAATTAATCATAGGTAAGCTACTGCAAGTAAATAGCTTGGTAACAAATAAAAGGTGATACAGTCAAAGAAAACTCAAAGTATTTGACATTTTCCATATATCAAACCAAAAATTGTTAAATGATCTTAATGCTTAACCATAAGTTGACTTTTGAAATTCTAAATTCAATCCCCGACCAAAATATCATCTCCTGCTAATAATAAATGTTAGTACTTGAATTATACAGAAAAAGACAAAAGTGTGTATTCAACACCCTCTGTCAAAGAACATAAAAAGAACATAATGGACTCAAATAAATGCCGTACCAAGAAATGAGATCTTAATTACCCTTTCTAAATCTGGGGAATCCAGCGAGGGCAGTGAAGCCTCTGCCTCAAGCTCCAGAGCTTCCGTTCTCTGTTTTATGAGCAACCCAGTAGCACCATTATGGTCATGTATGGCGGTAGAAAAGTTCATGAGGTTTTCTGGCGTCCGCTTGGCAATGTGTGTCATACTGAGAGAGTTTGTTTGACTAGAGGCAGCACCATTCACTGAAAACTTAGAACTTTCTGTACAACTTGTAGCACCAATTGGCAGTGTTAGGCCTTTTTTATTACTGTATAAAGCGGCAACAATTGAATTCAATGACCGTCCAGTGGTTGGATTTCTGTTCGATTTCTCGGTCAGGATTTTCTTAGGTGTCCCACTAAGAACGGACGAGGAATCAACACTGCTGTCACTGTCACTTTTACTGTCTTGAAACGATTCAAGACCGACACTGTCGTGATCTGAGGTCGGCGAATTTTCCCTGGATAAATGGTTGACTAGGTCTGTTTTGGTTTGAGCAATGTGACTTGAGACGTCAAAAGTTTGGCAAGAATCTGGCAGGACATTGGCTTGTGACCTCACAGTGGTGTTCTCATCCTAGAATGTAGAAAATGAAAGAAAATAAGTAAAAACTAGAGGATCAGAGAGGCAATATTGCTTCCTGGACATGTACCACCAACTGAATAAGGCAGTGTTCTCATCCTAGAATTTAGAAAATAGAAGGAGATTTTTGAAAATATATTCACCAATTTAATTTGCAATTTCTGGAATCAATCACATATCAGTGGTTTGCTTTATAAGCTTGCTGAACAATATACTGAGTAGTTGCTAAATATACCTATAAAAAGGACAACATAAAATGTTGAAAATGATTCAAATACCCCCCCCCCCACACACACACACATATGCAAGGATGCACACACACACATGCACACACACACATATGCGCACACAAATAAATGAATATATAACACAATTGCATTCAAAATATTATAGACTTATATGAAAAAGTTATCAACAAAATTTTAATTTTGGATATCATAAAAAAAAACAAAATTTCTAGTAAGGAGATGTCAAGTTGATAAAGAAGAAGAATGAAAACAACAAAAGAAACAGAAAATCTACCAGCAGAACCCTCCTTCCAGCCAATTTACCATCTCTCTTTTCATTGGTCGTCAGTTCAGTCAAGTTCCTGCCAATAATATCCATCTTTATACTAGTATATTACACGAGTGATGAGAACAATCCTTGACGTTAATATACTGGAGATTAATGACATCAATATAAGCCTTTTGTAAATGTGTAATTGCAGCAAATAAAACACATGTCATCCATGTAATTTTGAGTATCGTCTACTCAGGAGTACTTTTAGTTGTCCTTCATCTTAAATTCTGTTAGACAACTTTGTAATTTAAGACCAAGATGCTCATTTTGTTTCAGAACCAAAACTTGATGCTTACTGAATTATTTTTGTGCACATGTATGTATGCGTGTGTGCGTGCGTGCGTGCGTGCGTGCGTGTGTGTGTGTGAGAGAGAGAGAGTGTGCACCTTTTTACATAGCTATCATCACAAACACAAATGCAAATGATAGTATGATTCAGCAATTAATTAAGAAATAAAATTTTAATCCAACATATTGTATTCCAGCAACAACAGTAAATAGATGTCTGTACAAGTGTGGTACCAAAAGGCAATTAACAATGAGCACGGTATGAAACCTGCATTTTAATCAAGCCAGAAAAAGAACAATCACCTTTAAGGTCTTAACATACATCAATCACAACTGAAAATTCATGATCACAGCATAAACATGGCAGCAGCAGCAGCACCTACAGGTAAACTAGATCTCTTTGGGGCATGGCTAAATTTACACAGAAAGGGCAAGTTAAGATACAAGGCGTAATCAATTCTGTCCAACACAGCCACGCCCAGAGAAGATTGGCCTCTGACCTTCCTACGTATCAACTATGTTTACATAAAATACTTTGTTACTGCTCTCTAGGTATCATGTTTATTGGGTTAGTTTAGAATGAAAGGTAGTGATTTATAGCAAAGGTCAGATATCAACTTTGCACCAAGTTTCTGTGTTTGTGGAAGAAGCAAACAGGTATAAATATCCCTAAGATACTGCAACAGATTTCCATGGATTAAAATGATTATTTTTCTATGATTATCTTGCAATGAGAACCTTAACTTTTGAATTCACCTGTCAACATTTCCTTGAGTCTAAAATAAAAATAAACATTGCACCCTGCGTGTCTGGATTCAGGGCAGACTCAATCCCACCCATCTCATAGTACCCTGATAACACATGCCATAACTATCCACAGTACAGATACCCAGGGTACCAGATGTATCCTGAAAANAACTGAATAAGGCAGTGTTCTCATCCTAGAATTTAGAAAATAGAGAAAATAAGTAAAACCAACAACAGGAGATTTTTGAAAATATATTCACCAATTAAATTTGCAATTTCTGGAATCAATCACATATCAGTAGTTTGCTTTATAAGCCTGCTGAACAATATAGTTGCTAAATATACCTATTAAAAGGACAACATAAAATGTTGAAAATGATTCAAATACCCCCCAGACACACACATGCAAGGACGCACACACACACACACATACACATACGCGCACACAAATAAATGAATATATAACACAATTGCATTCAAAATATTATAGACTTATATGAAAAAGTTATCAACAAAATTTTAATTTTGGATATCATAAAAAAAAACAAAATTTCTAGTAAGGAGATGTCAAGTTGATAAAGAAGAAGAATGAAAACAACAAAAGAAACAGAAAATCTACCAGCAGAACCCTCCTTCCAGCCAATTAACCATCTCTCTTTTCATTGGTCGTCAGTTCAGTCAAGTTCCTGCCAATAATATCCATCTTTATACTAGTATATTACACGAGTGATGAGAACAATCCTTGACGTTAATATACTGGAGATTAATGACATCAATATAAGCCTTTTGTAAATGTGTAATTGCAGCAAATAAAACACATGTCATCCATGTAATTTTGAGTATCGTCTACTCAGGAGTACTTTTAGTTGTCCTTCATCTTAAATTCTGTTAGACAACTTTGTAATTTAAGACCAAGATGCTCATTTTGTTTCAGAACCAAAACTTGATGCTTACTGAATTATTTTTGTGCACATGTATGTATGCGTGCGTGCGTGCGTGCGTGCGTGCGTACATGCGTGCGTTCGTGCGTGCGTGCGTGTGTGTGTGAGAGAGAGAGAGTGTGCACCTTTTTACATAGCTATCATCACAAACACAAATGAAAATGATAGTATGATTCAGCAATTAATTAAGAAATAAAATTTTAATCCAACATATTGTATTCCAGCAACAACAGTAAATAGATGTCTGTACAAGTGTGGTACCAAAAGGCAATTAACAATGAGCACGGTACGAAACCTGCATTTTAATCAAGCCAGAAAAAGAACAATCACCTTTAAGGTCTTAACATACATCAATCACAACTGAAAATTCATGATCACAGATAAACATGGCAGCAGCAGCACCTACAGGTAAACTAGATCTCTTTGGGGCATGGCTAAATTTACACAGAAAGGGCAAGTTAAGATACAAGGCGTAATCAATTCTGTCCAACACAGCCACGCCCAGAGAAGATTGGCCTCTGACCTTCCTACGTATCAACTATGTTTACATAAAATACTTTGTTACTGCTCTCTAGGTATCATGTTTATTGGGTTAGTTTAGAATGAAAGGTAGTGATTTATAGCAAAGGTCAGATATCAACTTTGCACCAAGTTTCTGTGTTTGTGGAAGAAGCAAACAGGTATAAATATCCCTAAGATACTGTAACAGATTTCCATGGATTAAAATGATTATTTTTCCATGATTATCTTGCAATGAGAACCTTAAGTTTTGAATTCACCTGTCAACATTTCCTTGAGTCTAAAATAAAAATAAACATTGCACCCTGCGTGTCTGGATTCAGGGCAGACTCAATCACAGCCACCTCATAGTACCCTGATAACACATGCCATAACTATCTATAGTACAGATACCCAGGGTACCAGATATATCCTGAAACTCACACCAGAGGTCCTGCTACATTTGGACAAAACAACCCTTGTAAATAATAACAATTCCCTTTTATTGTTTTCAGGTATTATACTATTTGCTAATATCACATTAACAATCACACCTATGTATATATTGTAATGAAGACATGTAAGTATCATGTCATCCCTAAGGTAAAAATCTCCATGAACCACCAGTGACTAGATGGAGTTGGACAGTATTATATGGACAAAATCTTGGCATTGCATTGTGTAAGTCCAGATACTGATTCAAGAAAATTTGTGCTTTGTGTATATTACGTAATATCTAAACTGAACGTCAACTAATAATTCTCATCAACACAAGAATTCAGTTCTGGGTATGATATGTATCATACAAGTTAAATACACTGGACACTGGCTGTTAGCAGTCAAATTTACCGTAATTCTGAACTCTAACCTGGAAACTTCCCTTTCCCTAAAACACACCTTTACTGTAGAATGCCGCTCTCTCTCCATCAACTTATCTCTGTGAACTCGGGAGTAATGATGAAAAAAGATGAAATGAAAAGTAAATCAACTCTGAAAAAACTTAATACAGACAGGCATACAGCAAAAATTGCCCCCCCCCTCTTTCAATCTCTCTCTCTCTCTCTCTCTCTCTCTCTCTCTCTCTTTCAACATACTGCCCTCAGAGGGCTATGATGGTTGAAGACAGGTGATCTTCCCAACTGAGCAGGCATATAACAAGGTACAAAACCAACTAATTTAGGCTACATCTTCATTCACTAAGCATCAACTTATGACACATACTCATGTAACAAACTACTTTTACAGCCCTTTATCCACAAAAGTAGTTTTGTAAGGACAACCTCAACTAAATGGCCTGTAATCTCATCATAAAGAAAACTGACTGACACACATGGCTGGTCCTAGCGGGACTCAGCACCTGAAAAAAAAAGCTGGCTTATTAAGAGAACATATGCCCTGTATATATATATTTTAACCTTAGTGTTACAAGGTAGCACGGACTTTAAGCATCAGCTGACTTACCTCCTGACATTTCTACAGGCTTCAAGTGTCACTGCATTCACAGAGTACAAAACCATGAACACAATAATACACCACAGTCAAAATAACCACAGGATCTCAGCCATGTGGGTGATAATATTTACAAAATACTTGCCTAAATCTGTCTCTATTCCTTCAAACAATACACTGGAAGTGGCACACAGTTAAGACCATTCAGCCTGCTATGTTCTCTCTGCACAACCAATTTATTTTTGTCAGCAGTAACTAGCCACACCCAAATCAACCAAGAGTTGGAAGAAACCATTTGGACCAGAGACAATTAATTGGGGCAGAACCCTCAACTGTCTGCAGGTTCCTGTACAACAGCTGACTTGTTCAGTGAGGACCTGCTTATGTCATGTCTTTATCTCTGCCATCGCTACAAATAATGTTTTATTCTCTAATTTACTATTTTTATTTATCTGTTATTTACTGTGTATCCAGGGCCCACATTCCTTCCAGTAAAGATCTGAAATTAAT